AGTCGGGACCGTACGCCACGTTGATGAGTGAGGAGGAGACGATTGACCTCTTGGAGAGTCTACGAGCACAGAAGCAAGTTTCTGAAGGCCCTGCTGAGCAGCCAGTGGACCCATCGGGCAACCCGGGTGGCAAATCAGAGGAGGTGCTACTTTTTCTGTAGTTGGAGACATTTGTTTATAGACACCCGGTGTCAAGGAGAATCCGCAACTGCAGCACGGAGGTCGGGCGAAGCGTCAGGGTTCCAAACTTCCGTCAGTATCCTATCCACGATGCATCAAGACCGACGGACTGCCGGTATGTAATCTTGAGGAGTAGAACTAAATAGATCAAGCATCATAAAAAACTCGCACCGGGACACGGCGTACAGTCTTTCCCGCTTCATTTTTCAAAGCACCGATGGGATTTTTCGCAGCAGTATATAGGTTTGTTAAGGTTCTAGCAAATCGGCCAAATTTTCGTGCTATCGAATGCCAGATAATATTCTTGAAATAGAGCCTTCCCCGTATTTAGCCAGCGCTTCAAGATCTTTCCACCCATCACCTATAATAATTTTGTTGTGGTCTCTGTCCGTCTGAAGCCGAATTCAACTCGAAGGGGAAAGGAGCTAGAGCTTAGCTCTCTTCGGATTCGGGTAGAGCGTGGTCAGAAACCCCCAAACTGATAAAAAAAATTATGAAAAAGTTTTAGTTTAAATTATTAAAATTAACTTTGAAAGTGGCGCCTTAATAAAAAACGAGTGGCGCCCTCTCCCGGGAGGCCACGCCCCTTTCCCTTCGCCCATCTTCGCCAGGCTCTTTCCCGCACCCAGATCTTTTTTTTGAGTTACTTTCATACTTTTTAATACTTTTTAATTATGTTAATTCGTTATTTAAATCATCTAAAGCCATCAGGAAGGCATTTAGGTAGTTTTTGAAGGGGATTTCAGCCATGGGGGGTATCCGAAGCCATCAGGAAGGTATTTAGGTAGTTTTTGAAGGGGATTTCAGCCATGGGGGGTATCCGAAGCCATCAGGAAGGTATTTAGGTAGTTTTTGAACGGGATTTCGGCTATGGGGGGTATTGATGGAGGTGGGAAAGGATGTGGTCAAGTGGGACATGTAGGGTAGCCCGAAGGCCAGATGGTTCCAGTCGCGAGCGACTGTAACCATCCGGTATTTTACAGGAAGACCAGAAGGCGATCGTAAAAGCCGACGGGCTGCTCGACTGCGAGCAGGACCCTTTCTACAAGGAATTGGGCCTCGAATCGCTCACCGTCACCAAATTGCCCCTTTGCAGTGCCGTCGATCAGAATAAGGTAGACCATGATTTTGCAGGGGAATATACTGGCTGATGAGGGGCTTTCCATTGTACAAAACCCGTTTCGAAAACACTTTTCTCGTGGTATTCATGATTTTCAGAAATTCTGTCGAACCTCCGCGGCCAGCCAGCCAACAAACCCCACTGCAACAACCCCGGCTTCAGAAGGGGACTGGCTTGATCCTCCGGAACCCTGGGCAATGGTCAGCATGGTCGTCGCCTGCAGCGGCGACGCGTTGATGATCATCGCAATAGCCCTCGTCTGGTATATTCGATTCGGACGGCCGGAAAAGGATGATGATGAGGATGAGGATGAGGAGATGGATTCGCACTCACGCAAGCACGACTCGTCCAAGTGGGCCTTTTTCTGACAAGGAATCTAGCCTCTTCTCGCTTGATATGCCAAATACCATTACTTTCTACTACTGGACTCAAAATTTTTTTGAAAATTACATGATGGTGTTGTGAAGGCTCCACTTGGAAAGGAATGGCGGCAAAGTTTTGGTTTTTTGAGAGCTTTTCTAATTGACAGAGAAACACCTACCAGCTAGTATTTTTTCTTAGCTGGAACCCTCCTTTTACTAAGAATAACCTTAAAAAGAAGAAAAGCGCCTCAGGCAGACGAAGTTTTGTATTTTTGTAGGAAGAAAACGGGCGACGACGATGATGCGTGAGAATGAGAGGAGAAGATGCAGCCGCGAGCCCCGTCTACAGCCCCAACCAGCTCTAGACGTGCCGCCTTATTGCATAGAGAAAATTTGCTGGTCCGAGTGATTGGCTTCACCGCTTTTTCGAAAGCGGATCTGTGATTTGTACACCTCTGGAATAAATGGTTTTCCGCAATCACGTCACGAATACAACTCGTCTATATTTTAGTTTTTTTGCCATTACCATCTCACTCTCTCTCGCTCCCTTTCTCCCTCTCTTGCTCTCGCTCGCTCTCTCTCTCTATCTCTCTCTGTCTTTTTCTCTCTGTCTTTCCATCTCTCTCTCTCTCTCTCTCTCTCTCTCTCTCTCGCCCTTTAAAGCCGGCGACGACGACGATGCGCGAGAATAATCGGCAGGGGACTGAGGTTGGAGCTCTATCGCTAAACTGAAAAGATAACGAAAAACGGCGACCAACTGGCTGTATTTTGATAACAAGATTTTTACGTTTTTTATGTCTATGGTTTGTACACTCGCTGGATAAATGGCTACCTGAGATTTTTCGAGTACGCCTGCATTTCATCCGCAGGGTGCGGAAAAATTGAGTGTGACGGAATAAAGGTTCCAAAAACAATTTTTGTTAAATATGCCCTCTGCATTATGATACAGCACGACAGTTGCATAGTAATATTCTGGTTTCGCTAACGTCGAATGAATACAACATAAGCATACACTCAGTTATGACATTTCTGCATTTACATGCAAGCTGAATAAACTTACATCCCCACAAATTAGCATCCCCAAAACAGAATATCCGGTCTTCGATCGAGCTCACTTTACCTTGAAAGGGTCCCATTTCCTAAACAACCTCCATCCTGTGGCCGACTCTTTTAATTCGGCCAAACGTTCAACTTTTCGTTGGCATTGCAAGCTATATTCATCAGCCATTGCGTCGAGTCATCCGCAATATCTATCAACGATTCAAACGAACATCTTCGGTAGGAACCATTTTAAGAGCACTGCCGTTTTTAAGTAGCGCTTTTCAAAAACTAGATTTATCTGAAATTTTCCAGCACCGAATGCCACGCAAGCTGAAACCAACCGACCACTCATTTCGGAACGTCTTCAATGGGGTCTCAAGCCGCCTCCTCCCGATGGTCATCTTCGCACTGTTGATCTCTTCAGTTGTCCCCGCCACAATCCGGTAAACTCATCCTTCTTCTGCTTTTGAGTTTGGGTTACTGCTCGAAACCGGCCCACCATTTTTAGCAAGAGCAGCAACTATGCGCGACTCGCTGACATCGACCGTCACCTCAGAGATGGTGATAAAAGGGTACCGGTTACTGTCTATCAGCCTCAACGACTTATCCTTCTAGTGCCCGAACGATCGTCCGTTTGTATGCTACGTCTTCGACGAGCTCCACCAGGAATATCCTGCATGGCTAAAGCAACGTGGCGATGACAGTGATGAGGACGAGACGAAGGTAATCTGTAATCTTTAAATCAGGAGGAGAAACTAGAAATCAGGTAAATATTGGGAGTGCTTTCCGCTTGAGAGGGAGGGGGTTGGGGTTGGAGGGGATATCAATTATCCCAATTAGGTGAATTCTAGCCCGCATTATTGTGCAATTAGGCGAACTGCATTCTAGCCTGGGCAACTTCACCGAAAGGTTCGATCCTAATGCAGCAGGCAAAATAAAAAAACACACATTAATTATCGAACTTTTTAGTGCGCGCCTTGCGACATAGCGGGAGTGGCTGAATGTCGGGAGGGCAAAGCCTTTAGCGCTGATGCTGCCGATGGAACGAGACTGAAAGGCGAGAAATGTCGTCCAAAATTCTGCGTAGGTTGTTCCGCTTTTCGGGATGAATTTCTGCAGAAGCCTGGTGCGCCCGAGGCAGCTGATTGTATCGCGCCCATCAAAATAAATGAAAACAAAGGTGGGTAGCAGTGCTTTGATGCGGCGAAAAATTGGGTACTTGAGTATTCCGGGTGGGGGAACCGAAGTTTTTTCGACTCAAGCCTAGATTTTTTATTTAAATAGTGGAAGTGTTTTTAAGTTATTTATAGCTATTCCTAAGCATACAAACTTTACAAAATTTAATTAAAAAATTTAATCATGGGTCGAAAAATCAATTTCTTCGGCCCAAAAATGACCCAATTTTCGACTTTTTCAAGCGCTTTTCTAACTTTTTAAAAAGTTTTTGCTATTAAGATAGGCTTAAATTTTGCTAAAAACAATGTGAAAACACTTTATATTTGATTACTATGTCCACCGGGGCCTACAGAAAAAAGTGGGTTCCCCCCGGCGAATTCTTCCCCCGGAATACTCAAGAACCAAAAATTGCGTTTCTAGAGACACTGTTCCTTCCCTTTAACCTGTGCACGCGCGAAATGGTGGCCTCTGGGCAATGCGAAGGGAAGAATCTGTAGGTGACCGTCGGCGGACTGGCACACCGATCTAATTTAGGAGTGGCATCAACTACTCACCCGAGTCGATCCCGCACACGACCCAATACTTCCTGCAATGCGACGCTGGATTTGTCATCCCGCAGTGGATGAACCTTGTAGTAAACCCAAAGTAGAGTTGTTATAACTCAAACAACAAACAACAAATTATTCAAACAACACAAACAGGCACGATTCTGGTCCGACCCTTCCCGCTTCGGGTTGAAGGGCGAGTTGTTGCGTTCCGACATCCTGTATTTCTAGAAAAATCAATAGCATGATCTTTGTTTAGGAGCGTACTTGCTGCTCATGCGGTGGACCGAACAATCAAAGAGACGTGCATCCCAAGCCTTCAGCTGGCAGCTGGGTATTTGCAATCGGATCAAGCAGGATTCGATAAGGACCCTTACGATGTCCTAGATCCTCTACAGCCCAACGTAAAGTGTTAACAAAGCCAAACAAAAAGTCAAAATTTAGTATTGCCCGAAGGGCGGTCGTCAAGCCGGCCAAAAATGCGATCCACTACATCTTTGCATGTCCGATCCGACAGCGATGTATAGATATCCACTTTACATTGATGCTCGTTCAGAAAGTTCTATCCTGGAGAAGGAAACGTGATAAAAACGGCGACCAAATGCGACGAGCAGTGCTTGTTCCCACGCCCCGATGGCCAATATCTTCCGGAATCGTGTGTCCTGTTGGATATCACTGATCAGAAAGGCTCGCCACCATACTACACGCTACGCCGCGCCCTGGTGAATATCCCCATTATATTCTTTGAATTTTCTGAATTGCGGTCGGGACCCTATGCGTCGTTAATGAGCGAGGAGGAGACGATCGAGCTTCTGGAGACCCTGAGAGCAAAGAAGCAAGTTTCTGAAAGACCTCCCGAGCAGCCAGTGGTCCCATCGAGTAACCCGTCGGACGAGGTGCTACTTTTTCTGTAGTTTGAAACATTTGTTTGTAGACATCTGGTGTCGAGGAGAATCCACAACGGCACCACGGAGGTCGGATGAAGCGTCAGGGTTCTTCACTTCCATCAGTGTCCTATCCACGATGCATCAAGACTGACGGCCTGCCGGTATGCCAACTTTGCGAGCTTCTTGAGGAGTAGAAGGGTATCTTGGTATGATTAAAATATCGCATCTTCGAACAGGGTTATGTCCGCCTGAAATTGAATTAAATTTCAACATTCTCCCCGCTTCATTTTTCAAGGCCCATGCCGGCCCATGTTTGTTCAGTTCTAGTAGATTGATCAAATTTCCAATCCATAAAATGCCCGATAATATATTCTTATAATGCCATCAATAGTTATCCGCCATGACAGATTTTCCAGGAAGATCAGAAGGCGATCGTAAAAGCCGACGGGCTGCTCGACTGCGAGCAGAACCCTTTCTACAAGGAATTGGGCCTGAAATCGCTGACCGTCACCAAATTGCCACTTTGCAGTGGCGTCGATTCGAATAAGGTAGACCGTGATTTTGCAGGGGAATATACTGGCTGATGAGGTCTTTTCCATTGTACAAAACCCGTTTCGAAAACACTTTTCTCGTGGTATTCATGATTTTCAGAAATTCTGCCGAACCTCCGCGGACAGCCAGTCAACAAACCCCACCGCAACAACCCCGGATTCAGAAGGGGACTGGCTTGATCCTCCGGAACCCTGGGCATTGGTCAGCATGGTCCTCGCCTGCAGCGGCGACGCGTTGATGGTCATCGCAATAGCCCTCGCCTGGTATATTCGATTCAGACGGCCGGAAAAGGATGATGATGATGACGACGATGAAGAGATGGATTCGCACTCACGCAAGCACGACTCGTCCAAGTAGGCCTTTTTCTGACAAGGAATCTAGCCTCTTCTCGCTTGATACGCCAAATACTATTACTTTCTACTACCGGGCCTACCCTTTCTGGACATTTTCAAGAGGAGTTTCGAAGTCCCTATTTTTGGTAAAATAGCCACAAGGTTGTGTTTTAGCTTTTTCGGCAAATCTAGAAAGAAACAACGCCGCCAGCTAGTATTTTTTGCCTAGTAATTTACTTAATAGCATTAGCTAGTACTCTCATTTAACTAAGAATAGTCTTAAAAAAATGAAAAACGCTTCAAGCAGGGAATTTGTTGTGTTTTGTAGAAAGAAATCGGGCGACGACGACGATGCATGAGAATGAGAAGGAAAGATGCAGCCGCGAGCCCCGTCTACAGCCCTAACCAGCTCGAGACGTGCCGCCCTATTGCATAGAGAAAATTTGCTGGTCCGAGTGATTGGCTTCACCGCTTTTTCGAAAGCGGATCTGTGATTTGCACACCTCTGGAATAAATGGTTTTCCGCAATCACGTCACGAATACAACTCGTCTATATTTTAGTTTTTTTGCCATTACCATCTCACTCTCTCTCGCTCCCTTTCTCCCTCTCTTGCTCTCGCTCGCTCTCTCTCTCTTTCTCTCTCTGTCTATCCCTCTCTCTCTCCCTCTCTCTCTCTCTCTCTCTCTCTCTCTCTCTCGCCCTTTAAAGCCGGCGACGACGACGATGCGCGAGAATGATCGGTAGGGGACTGAGGTTGGAGCTCTATCGCTAAACTGAAAAGATAACGAAAAACGGCGACCAACTGGCTGTATTTTGATAAGATTTTTACGTTTTTTATGTCTATGGTTTGTACACTCGCTGGATAAATGGCTACCTGAGATTTATCGAGTACGCCTGCATTTCATCCACAGGGTGCGGAAAAATGGAGTGTCACGGAATCAAGGTTACAGAAACAATTCTTTTTTAATTATTCCCTCTGCATTATGTTACAGTACGACAGTTGCATAGTAATATTCTGGTTTCGCTACACGCGTTGCCAACGTCGAATGAATATAACATAAGCATACACTCAGTTATGACATTTCGGCATTTACATGTAAACTGAATAAAAATACATCCCTGCAAATTAGCATCCCCAAACCAGAATATCCGGTCTTCGATCGAGCTCACTTTACCTTAAAAGGACCATTTCCTACACAACCACCTTCCTGTCGCCGACTCTTTTAATTCGGCCAAACTTTCAACTTTTCGTTGGTATTACAAGCTATATTCATCAACCATTGCGTCGAGTCATCCGTAATATCTATCAACGATTCAAACGAACATCTTCGGTAAGAAGGATTTTGAGAGCACTTCCGTTTTTATCTAGCTTTTCTCTGATTTATCTGACATTTTCCAGCACCGAGATGCATCGCAAGCTGAAACCAAACGGCTACCCACTTCGGAACGTCTTCAATGGGGTCTCAAACGGCCTGCTCCTGATGGTCATCTTCGCAATGCTGTTTGCTTCAGTTATGGCCGCTCCGATTCGGTAAAGCCTTGTTTTTCAGTTCCTGAACTTTTTCCTTTCGAAAATCGCTCCATCATTTTTTTGCAGGCTCGCCAACGGCACCCAACTCCCTGACATCGACCGTCACCGCAGAGATAGTAATAAGAGGGTAACGGTTGCTGTATCTAACCCTCAACAACATGTTCTTCCAGTGTCCCTCCAATCGACCATTTGTTTGCTACGTCTTCGACGAGCTCACTCAAGACTATCCGCCATGGCTGAGGCAAAATGGCGATGACACTATTGAGGACGAGATGAAGGTGATCTATGGCTTTTTCGGAAAATGGCCGATGGATTATGATTTTCGTCGCATGTAAATGCAGCTGTTGAAATTGAGATGTGAAGAACATTTCAGTTATTGAGAGGAGATATGTTTAAAGAAATCTTGCAAACTGTAATTTCTTAGTGATGACTTGACTATGACGTAATTTGTCCCCTGCTGTCCATGACGATTAACATTCAGTGCGCCTCATGTGCCGTGGCGACGACGGACGTCTGTGGTGACATACCCTTTCAAGCGATTGCTCTACAATCGGAAAGATCCAAAACCAGCCATTGCCGCCCCAACCTTTGCGTACGTTTGGTCATTCCATCGCTTTTTATGATAATGGTTGCAGCCGAAGGCCGCCGCGCAAGTGGATTGTATTGCTCCCATCACAATTGATCAGATTAAGGGTAGCGATATTTACTCCCAGGGCTACTTGATACCTAGCCCGGATTCTTCGAACGAGCCTTTTGAACCCCGCGTTTCATTTAGAGATAATCTACTTCCCCTTCAACCTATGCACGCGCGAGATGGTGGCCTCTGGGCAATGCGAGGGGAAGGATTTGTGCGTAGTAGCAGATGGCTCCCCGGCACTTGCGCCGCGCCAGACACTTGCGACGCGGATCGTATATTGACTTAAACTGTAGTGAATTTGGTAATTCGCTCGATTTTTGTATGTAATTATTGTATTTTCCATGAAAACTTGACTGGAAGTGAGTAACGCCAATCCGGAGCGCTCCTAAAGGCGGCAGGCAAGGTGGGCCGTCGCTTCGCTTCGGTCGCCCCGAATTCGAAACCCTGTACGGGCTTGCACCCATCCGAAGCGACTAGGCCCCGCGTGGCACGAAGCCTTTTTCTAGTCGCAGAGCGGAAGAAGTAGCAATTACCTTCCGTCCAAAGCGAGTGACTCCTAGCGCGCAAAACCATCTTTCTATCGTTTCTTTAACCAGAATCGGACTCCGCGCGAAAATTGCATCTTCAAGTAGCTGAAACTCAGTATCGCGGCGCAAGTGTCGGGCGTAAGTGTCGCGGCGCAAGTGCCGCGGTACCTAGCAGACAGAAGTTTTGATGGCGCAGCGTTTAGGAGCATCAAGGTCTACTCGCCTGACGGAATCCCGCACACGATCAGATACCTTCTGCAATGCGATGCCGGATTTGTCATCCCACAGTTAGTACACCTTGTGTGGCACAAGATCCTACTCACAGGAAAGCCTCACCTGATGCATGATCTTTGTGTAGATTCGTAATCGCTGCTCATGCGGCAGACGACGACGTGCAAGAGACGTGCATTCCAAGCCTTCAGCTGGCAGCCGGATACCTGCAAACGGACCCCACAGGACTCGATAAGAACCCTTACGACGTCTTCGATCCTCTACAGCCCAACGTAAAGAGTTAACAGGACAAACGAAAAGTTAATATTTAGTATTGTCCAAAGGGCGGTCGTCAAGCCGGTCAAAAATGCGATCCGTTGCATCTCTGTATGCCCGATCCCACAGCAATGTATATATTCCCTATTCTCTAAGGTTCTTTTAGAAAATTTTTTCTGGGCGGTTCAACTGTCATCAAAAAAGCAGCCGAATGCGACGAACAGTGCGTGTTCCCCCGATCTGATGGCCAATATCTTCCGGAATCGTGTGTCCTCTTGGATATCACTGATCCGAAGGGCATCCCTCCATACTACACGCTCCGTCGTGCACTGGTCAATGCCCCACTACGTTCTTTGAATTTTCTGAATTCCAGTCGGGACCGTATGCCTCGTTGATGAGTGAGGAGGAGACGATCGATCTTCTGAAGAGTCTACAAACAAAGAAGCAAGTTTCCGAAAGCCCTGCCGAGCAGCCAGTGGACCCATCGAATAACCCGTCGGACGAGGTGATTCTTTTTCTGTAGTTGGAGACATTTGTTTATAGACACCCGGTGACAAGGCAATTCCACAACTGCAGCACGGAGGTCGGGTGAAGCGTCAGGGTTCCAAACTTCCATCAGTGTCCTATCCACGATGCATCAAGACCGACGGACTGCCGGTAGGCAATCTTTGCGGGCTTTTTTAGGAGTAGAAGTAAATAGATCTTGGTGCCATTAAATATTAGACCGGAGTACAGCGTACATAAAATTGTGGCTCTTGTCCGCTTCATTTTTCAAAGCACTGACATGATTTTGGGCAGCATTATAGGTTTCTTAAAGTTCTAGTAAATCGACCAAATTTTCGAGCTATAAAATGCCATATTCTTGAAATAGAGCCCTTCCCCGTATTTAGCCAGCCCTTCCAGATCTTTCCACCCTGACATATTTTCCAGGAAGATCAGAAGGCGATCGTGCAAGCCGACGGACTGCTCGACTGCGAGCAGAACCCTTTCTACAAGGAATTGGGCCTTGAATCGCTCACCGTCACCAAATTGCCCCTTTGCAGTGCTGTCGATCCAAATAAGGTAGACCGTGATTTTGTATGGAGAAAATGCTGGTTGATGAGGGACTTTCGGGTTTCACGGGGGGTTTCCACTTTACAAAACGCTTTTCGAGAAGACTTTTTTCGTGGAATTCATGATTTTCAGAAGTTCTGCCAGTCCGCTGTTGCCACAGAGCCAACCACCAATATACCAAATACCGCTCTCCCTGATGAGGGATTGTTGCTGCTGCTGACTTCTTCGCCGCTGGCTCTTGTCGGCATCGGTGTCGGCGGTATCGTGCTAGTGATCCTGGTGATCGGTGGCGTATGCATGCTGTGCTGTCGGCATCCCAAGGAGCCAATAAAGTCCGAATCAGAGCCGTAAGCTACTATCAACCCTAGACGGTCTCCGCTTACAGACTAACACCGCCGGACGAAGACACGGAGAAGGCGCGAGCGGCTCCGGCTTCGGCTGCGGAGGCCAAGACGATAAATTGGGAGGGTGAGACGGCATGACCGGGTGTCCCAGTAAAAAAAAAGTCTGCAACAATCTTCAAAACTATGTTTTTATTGGACTGCGTCATTTTACAACGCATTTAAAAAGATTAAGTCACGGCCTCTGAATCTCATTAACGACTACTTCCGGTCAGTTTGTTGGGAGAAACTGACCAAACTAGCTCTTATGCAACTTTGAAAAACCGCAAACCTTGCAAAACGTTGGTAAAATAGCGCTGTTAAATAAAAAAAACATGGTTTTGAAAGGTGTTGCAAACTCGCCGTTTCAAGCACTTTCGAATGGTGTAGGTATCGTTCGGATCCGGTGCGGTCCAGATCTCATTGGGGGTTGGTATCATTAGAAAACTTTATAGAGCCACCTGCCATGCAGCCACTCAAGACGTCAACCGTCTTCGGCATGACAGATATCACCAACCTGCTCGAAGATTTTCATCTCTGGGTAGGTCCGCGTTTTTGTGATGCCGAAAATAACATTTTTTGGCGGTTTGTAACACCATTGTTGCCGCATTTCGCACAGTTTTTGGATGTCGAAACGGCGCATTAAAATTATAAAAATTTTGAAAAGCGAAGCTTTTGCGTCGAATGGCCGATATTACATGTCCAAAATGGAAAATTTTTCATTTTAAATTTAAATTTTTGTGGAACTTTCTATCAATAAAAACTACTAAAACACTTTATATAGACGAGAGAAACTAGCTTTTTTTGCCAAAAGGTCCAGCAACCAGCATGGTAGTTACCTATCGGCACGCGCGGCACGCACGGCACGCACGGCACGCACCGTGCAGCTCTTGCGGCCGATGATAATGTCGAATCCCTTGGAATGAGCGCAATTTAGAGAATACGCATAACTTTAGATGAAAAGTTCGCCTCATCCGAATGCTCCAGCAGCCGAGCCAGGGCAGGCGGCCACCCTAAACGATCAGACGGGCATCCTCTACGAGATTCCTGCTTATGAGCCGACCAAGGTAGATTAACGAAATTCAGTAATTGTCAAAAACGAAAAGAAGGAAAGGATTTTTCATTCTTGGCAATACCTCGGGTTTAAAAATTAAGGGTGAAGAATTCGCGGCGAGAAACCGAACTTTTTTCGGCCCAAGCCTAGATTTTTTACATAAATAGTGGAAGTGTTTCTAAGTTTTTTATAGCCATTCCTAAACATAAAGACTTTACAAAATTTAATTAAAAAGGCTAATCTCGGGTCGAAATTTTTTCGGCCCATTTTTTGAAGGTTTTTCTGCTTTAAATATAGTTAAAATTTACTAAAAACAATGTGAAAACACTTTATATTTGATTACTGTTCCCATCAGGGCCGACAGGAGAAAAAGTTGGTTTCCTCCCCGCGAACTTCCCCCCCGGGAATACACTAGAACCCCATTTTTGTTTCCAGCCGGCAGCGAAGAAGTCTGCCCCCAGCCCAACCCAACAGCCATCCGGAATCACGGAATTGCCGGCACTGTTTGAGACGTTCGGCTATCCCACGCCTGATTATGAATGGGTCGAGAATTACAAAGCAGGGGATGTGAGTGACCTTCTTACAAACTAATTGTACATAATTTATGTTATAGCCGATCGTGGTCCGGGTGGGTATTGAAGCAACTTTTCATCCGCTGGCTGTCTGCTGCCAAGCCAAGGGACTGGGAATTGGGGCGTTTAGCGCGGCTTCACTTGCCATTATACACCCCTTCCCAAAATTTTTTTAACGCCGTTCGATAGAGGGTCGAAAAATATAATACTGATTTCAATTTGAACCTAAAATCATGTAAAATAGAGAGGTACTCAAAGTAATTACAGCCTTTTTTTTCGCGGCCCGCGGCGGTAGCTCGGTGAGAGCCATTTGAGAAAGCACACTTTGGATGAGCTTTAGCCGATTAAATTGAGTTTTTCTGAATAAAAACGTGCCGAAAATGAAAAATTCGGAATTTCGGAATTTCAAAACTCAGCTTTTCAATTTGCCCTTTTGAATCCGCTGTAACCATTGGGAATCCTACTATATATAAAAAAATAGTGTCTGTGTGTGTGTGTGAGTGCCACTTTGCATGCAACTTCCGTCAGCGTGTTCCAGCATTATCTCAAGAAGGAGAGTAGTTAGGGGCATGTTTGATACGTCATTAGGAGCGTAATGGTTCGGAGATGACTGCACGCATATAAAATTTATAAAAATCGCCTATTTTCGACATTAAAGCTTAGTTTTTGTTGAAAAATCCGAGACCCTCTTTGTTAGGAATCAATTAGCATACACCGGAAGTTGCGGTAGCCTATATAAAGAAGCCGAGGACGCATTTTTTCATTTTTTAGCATGGGTCGGACCGAATTATGCAAAGTGTAAACTTTCATTGGTCCAAAACAGGGCCAGGGTTGAAAAGTCGCGAAGCGGCTTTTCAACCCTGGTTTCGATTTAAAAATCCAGAAAAACCCATCCGGCCAGCCCACATCGGTCCCCGCAGACGGCTTTTTAAATTTTCTCAACCCATGCATTCTTATAGCCGCGCGCTGC